TGACGAGCGCAGATCTTGTCTTTTCCGCATCTTTTGCGGGATGGGCTCAGCCCTTCCCACGCAGTCCAGACGTAGCTGTGCGCTTGTGCTGAGGCCCTCTGTCAGCGTGAGGATTTCTTCTTCTCGGCCTTCTGCTCAACACAGTGTGCTGACTGTTTTATCTGGAAATGGTGTTGGGATTTGCAAAATACTTTTTAGGAGCCGTCCTGAATAGCTAGGCTCACGTAGTCTCATGATCAGGTTTATTATGAGAATAAAATGGGGTTAAATGCCAATGTTCAGAGTAAGCTTGACCCCGTAGTAGATAGTGCTTATCAGCTTGTCTTTAAGTAATTCCTTTTTTGCTACATCTCAAATACAAAAAAAATTTCAAATTTACTCCACAGATTGCTTGGCTCACTTCAAGCCGCCTGTCCCTTGCTAACCTAGAAAAGGGCATTCCAGTTAAAGAAAAACAACAAAAACTTGTTTAAGGCCAGGCCGCCCTCTCCTTTGGCAGCCACGCCTGCAGTGCTTATCTCAGCAGTGTCACTGTGACTGAGGATAGCTTTGCAATGCTCTCATTCCCCAACTTTGGTAAAATTCCCTAACATAGGACAAGTACACACCCCGTCAGTCATCAGCTATAATCACACCTCAGGGACCTCTTCAGCCCTTAGAGGGTGTAAGCAACAGAAACTTCGAGTTGTATCTATTGTTTCAAACCTTTAGAATCCAGGGAAAGAAGAGAAAACAGGATCCAGCGGGAGACCTACAGGTTGACTGTGTTGTCCTGAACTTGGTGACGTTCAGGAAAAGAATTGTGTTTGTCTTTCCAGTGCTGACCTGGAACCAGCCGAGAGCCCCTGACTGTGCTCTCATGACAGCTACCAGCTGTTTTCACACTAAATTTTGTCACCCTGGTATAGAGTCCTCTTCTCCCCACCAGCACAGGGTACCTGTGCAACAGCCTCTTACAGAGGGGAGAGAAGGTGCGTATATAGAGGCGTATATATGGTTCGGTGCCATCCACCCAGCCCCTTCTCACCCCCACCCCCGCCCCCCAACCTGGCCCAGATGGCTGCCAGGCCAGGAGTGTCTGGTCCAGGGAGATAAGGAGCCATGGATCCCGGCCCTGCAGGCTGCCTGCTTGGCAGGTTTAATTCTGGCAGGTAGACAATCTCTCTAGAACCTGCCACCAGGGAAAGAAAAGCTCAGGGCTTCTTTCTTCAAACACGTCCATGTGAAGGGACACTGGCCCTCTCACCATCTCCACCACACTTGCGCTTCCCTTGTTCCCAGGCCAGAGACGTGGAATTCAGGAGCCGCAGGGCAGCTGAGCCTGTTGACTCACCCAGGACTCCCTTAAGAGGCTGCAAGAGTTGTTTCAGGGGCTGTCCTTGTATTATCCTCTTAAAACGCTGGAAAGCGATCATTTTTGTTCTCAAGTCTGGGCCCTGTGCAGCTGTAACCGTTGGGAGGTGAGATGGGGCCAGGTGTGTCCTTCAGCGAGAACGAGGCAGGTGCTCATGTCTGTGGTGGGGGAGCACGGTAGCCCCAGGAGCCAGTTACCCGGGCCCCTTCTTTGGTTCCTCTGCTGGTTGTGTTTCTGCTTTTTGACAACGCGTGTTGGGGGGCATCTGGGCCAGGTTGGGGGGCGGGGGTGGGGTAAGGAGGAGCGGGGTGGATGGCATCGAACCGATGCCTCTTTATATGGCAGGTAGTCCCACATATGCTACCTTTCTGGAAACAAGAAGTTCTAAGAACTGCTCTTTACTTGAAGAAGATTAGGTATCCAAAATGTAAGGAATCGGGCTAGGTGTGTGAGTAACTTATCAGAGTCCAGAAGGGATTTCAATGGACAAGTGGGGCTTTGGGGAAAGGGACATACCTGGGCGGTATGCTTGGCAGCTTCCAGAACCTTCTCACTTAGCTCCTGAGTGGAGGCTGGCAGGAGGTGGAGGTGTGGGCACAGTCATTCGCAGAATGCACCCCAGGAGACTTCGGAGCAGCTCGTGTCCTGGGGCCTGCCCAGGACGGTCATTTTCAGGGGAAATGAGAGAAAATGAGGCTCAGGCCTCCCTGGTGATGCAGCAGGCTGGAGCGCAGCACCGCAAGCCAGCTGCAGACGCCTCAGTGCGAGTTTGATCCCCGCCCCAGAGGTGACTCACATGGCGTGGCAGACCTCTCTTGACCCACCTGCTGCTCCCCTCAGCAGTGTACTTCGTCAATCTGCCCGTTCTGCTCTCCACTCTGTCTATGGTGAATCCTCTCACTGCCCTGCACCTCTGGCTTGTACCCCAGTTCTGTATGTACAAGTAAATAAATCTTTAAAAAAGAGAGAGAAAGAAAATGAGGTTTATGTGCAAGGAGCTCCTGCCCGTGGCAGAGTAAAACCAGCTGTCAGCAGGGTCAGCCTCGCCCTATCGCACCCTGGGAGCCCAGAGCCTCCTGGGATCTCTTCTGGGGACCTGGGGCTGGGGCTCCATCTCCAGAGCTGAATGGGTGGGGCCCCTCTTTCCACCCAGTGTGGGGGAGCCACAAAGTCATATGCAGCAACAGGGCTTCAAATGTTTGTGGTTTTTACTTTAACAAAAGATTCTTTAAATAAAATGTAAAGGATCACATAGTGGACACCTGGACACCCACCTCCCAAACAGACATAAAATTTAGTATCATATTTATTTAGGGGGTTTAAAAAAACAAAGCGAGTAAAACATTTGGCAAGTAAAGTTAGGTGGGACGAGCGTCCTCCTCCCGTGGAGATGGAATTCCCTGCACCCGAGAGGCGGGTATGCACGGTGCCTCCTTAACCGGAAGGCAGCAGGTCTTGAATTTGCTGGGTGTCTTTCGTACCTCTTGTTTAAAATGGCTTCATGGCCACATACCTGCCAATGTGGGCGACGCACAGTGGTGTCTGCGTGCCTTCTCGAGCCCGTGAGCACATCTCCACCTGCCTTTCCACCCCTGGTCTTTGTCCCGTGACAGATTGGTCCTCCGTGGGGGCTGTTCAGTGGCCCACGCTGGCAAGTGCAGGGTGGCCGCCGGCCGCGTGACTGCTGTGCACACTGCGCAGACTTTGCGGGGGTCGGGGTCCGGCAGCCCCCCGGGCTTCAAGCCACCTCCTGCCTTTCGGTCAATTCAGACACCCTGGGGCCCCCAGGGCGGTGAAAACTGCTGTCACCTTCCTAGTGGCCTCTGGGAGTACTCAGAGCAGCACTCCCCAGCCAGGCCCTCAGCTCTTAGGCAGGCCACCCCACAACCTATTAAGGAGACCTGGGAGCCCCATTTAAAACTCCCCAGGTGGCTCTGAGCCCAGGCTGGAGCCAGAACCACCGCCTTAGACAATGGGGTCAGGGAACCAGTCCTGGGCACCCTTGGGGGGCATCATCTGCAAGGAGGTGCAGAACCCTAACTGGAAGAGTGGGGCCCAGTGGGCTGTGAGCTCCCTCACGGGGCTCAGCCCAGGGGACACTGGACATCCTGTGCCACCTGCCTCCACTGTGACAACCCCTCCGGGGGTCCCTGGGAACCCAAGAGACAGGGGCCGTCTTTGGGGTTCTTCTCCTGCCCAGGCTGGAAGGTGGTTCTGGGGTGCATCCGTTCCTGAAGCTGCACCCTCTGTGGAGAGAAGAGCTTGGGGGCTGGGTCATAACTTCAGCCTGCTCTTTAAACTGTGCTTTCAGGGACAGGCCGGCTGTTAAGTGATTCCACAGCCAAGGGGTCAGGCACTCTTAAAAGAATGGCAAGTCAGAGGGGAAGTGGGGTGCCTGCGGGGTGGGGCTGCCTCCGCTACCCCTCCTGCCTGCTCCCCTTGCGCTGCCTTCCCTCCCTTCCCCACTTGCTCATCCCCCACTCTGCCCCCCCTCGCCTCCCCCCTCCCCCACCCCCTGCCCTGGTCTGCTCCCTGCCTGCCAGTCCCTGCCTGCCTGCGCTAGCCCGACTGCAGCAGGCGGGAGGGAGCAGTGGGCGCCGCCAGCGGACAGCCTTGCCCGGCGCACTGCGGCCGGCCCCTCGCCTCCTGCAGCCCGGCCCCTGTGGGCTGTAGGAGCCTGCTCCTTCTGGAGGGCAGACGTCTCCAAGCTGGCTCAGCCGCCCAGGAAGGTAGCACCCCGCCCCGCCTTCCTCCTCTGGCTTTGTCTGCCTTTGTCTGGAGTGACCGCAGGACCTGCGCTGCAGATGGAGGCGGACGGAGGCTGCGTGCAGGGGCCTCTCGGGGGGGGGGCTCGGCAGAAAAGCCCTGGGGGGACAGTGACGCGGGGAGACGGTGCTCGTGGGGGCCCTGCGTTTTGCTGCTTTCCTGGATCTACCAGACTGAGTCTCTCATGGGTGTGTTTGTGTTTACATGTGCCTCTGTGTGCATGGGTTTGAGTATGTGCAAGGTGCACGCGTGGTTGGGGCTTGTGTGTGCATGTGGGCATGTGTGTGCGCGTGTGTGGTGCTCCGACCTGGCAGCACTGGCAGCGGCCTCGGGGAGGAGAGCGGCCTGGGCTCGGAGCGCTGGGAGACCTGAGCAGGCTGACCTCTTCCTCCTTGTAAAACGGAGAGGAGGAAGGTGACCCGTTCCGGCCGGCTAATCTCAGCAGTCCCAGGTGGCCTTGTACACACACAAGCGAGAGGACAGGCCAGGCCAGGTGGACAGGTGGGGCTTTGGGGTGGCGTGGCCCCATGTGGATTCCCTGCGTAGGCACCCGCAGAAGGCCATGTTGCCGGGGTGGGGGCTGGGGGTGGTGGTGTCCGGGTGAGGGGAGGGCCGTGACGCTGTGGCTTGTCCAGGTGGGGGGGCATGCCAGTGGGCTCCCGGAGGGCCCCTGGGGGGATGGGCCACCAGCGATGAGCCGGAGACGCCCCCGCCTTTCGGGGATGCGGTCTGCGAGACCTGCGTCCTCCTGCTCACCTACTTGCCAAGTGTGACTGGAGGTAGCAGTGACTCCCTGCGATGGGACGTGAATGCAGAAGGTCCTAGTGGCGCGCCCCAGTGGGGCTCTGACGGTTTCCCCGTGTTGCTTCTTACCCTCCAGGGATAAACGCCCAAGCTCGGAGGTTGCAGCGGAGCCGCGCCAAGGGAACCCCAGCTCCGGCCTCAGGGGGCGCCCAGAGCTCTCCTCCGCCCCGGCTGCGACGCACCGTCAGCGAGACCAGCCTGAGCCCAGCCACCGCCCTGCCCGACGCTGCCCAGGGTCCGGAGGAGCCCTGCCAGGACACCATGCGCTACTCCCTCTACGAGTCGCCCCACCTGCTCCTGCTGCAGGGCTACAGCCAGCAGCACGTGAGCCGCCTTGCCTGAGCCCCCTTGCCCGGGAGGCCTGCCCAGGAGGGCTAGAGAAAGTTCTCGGTGTAGACACTTCCCGCTGCTGTTACCTAAGGCGGTGTGAGCTCCCGTGGCTACTATCGCTCTGGAGATGATGCAGCTGTGGAAACGGGCGAGGGTTGGGCCCATCCTAGCCTGGAGGAGTTGGGGCTTCCAAACGTTTGCTTCCAGAGCATTCTCTATGTCAGGCCACTAGAAGGCCTCAGGGAGGACACGCTCCCCAGCTCCTGCTCTAGTGCTGACCTTAGCATCGGTCTTCACCGGGCACCAGGCCCCTCGGCAGCGGAGCGTCCACCCCGCCGCAGGCTCGCCGGGCCAGCAGAGCACAGCGTGGCTCTCTTCCCCACATGTTGAGGGCTCTCGGGGAAGGTCTTGCAGTGTTCACACAGCGGCCTACAGGGCAGCTTTCTCCGAGGGGCACAGAAAAGGCGCCCCGTCCTGCAGCGAGAGCCAGCCTCTCCTCCCGCTGGTGTTGGCAGTGTCTCGGCACCCTGGGTCTAGTCCTTAGGAACTCCGGGAGCCTGCTCTACAGAAGCGGCCCGCCCCCCCGGGTTCGCACTGAGCCCTCCCACCCACTTTGGGCCACACTGTGACATGACGTAGTAAGGGTGGGTGCATCTACCCACCTGTCACCTGGGTGCATTTGGGGTTCTTGGCCCTTGTCTATAAACCAGTGTCTGCTCCTGGGCCGGTCCTTATCAGGCTTCTCATGTGTCCGTTCCAGAGTCAACTCTCGGTGTCTGAGGGGACACTAGGCTGCTGGGGGGGGGGCTCCTGCTCCCCAGAGACAGGCTGGATGCTAACTCTGGGCAGGCGGCGGGGGCGGGGGCATGCAGCAGGTTATAGAAGGTGCCGGATGGGTGCCTCAGGACGACGTGGCTTAGGTGACCAGGCGCCAAGACACATTTCTCTTCCCGGGGATTCAGGTGCTCAAGGTGGTGCCCTGGCCCTGAAATCCTGTTTTTGTTTCAGGACAGCCTGGTGTACGTGCTCAACCGGGAGCGGCACACGGTGGGCCAGAGGACCCCCTCCAGCAAGCCCAGCATTAGCCTGTCGGCCCCGGACATCCTGCCCCTCCACTGCACCATCCGCAGGCGCCAGGCCTCAGGCAGAGACTCGCGGGGCTGGTTGGTCCTGGAGCCCATCCCTGGGGCACCCGTCTCCGTCAACTTCTCGGAGGTGGGGCGCGCCGTGGCCCTGCACCACGGGGACTTGCTGTCCCTGGGCCTCTACTACCTGCTGCTGTTCAAGGACCCGGCGGCCCCATCCCTGCCCGCACAGGCTCTGGCCCGCCTCCGGGCCATGCCGCAGAGCTGCAGGATGTGTGGGGCGGCGCTGAGGGCCCGGGGCACCTCCACCTGCACGTGGGCTGCCCTCCCCCGGCCCCGGCAGCTGCACCTGGAGTTTGAGCCCGGCATGGAGGATGTGCTGCTGCAGCGGATCATGACGCTGGTTGAGCCGAGTGGTGATGACCACAAGCTGACCCCCGCCTTCCTCCTCTGCCTCTGCGTCCAGCACTCAGCCACCCACCTGGAGCCAGGCTCCTTCGGGCAGCTCCTGCTCAAGATTGCCAAGGCGATCCGGGAGACAGTCTGGGTCAGTCGTGGGCAGGGGCGTCTTGTTGTCCGTTGTTTTTCCGTGGGCTGTGGGAGCAGGTGGGGGGCGGCTCTGAATGGGGGGGGGGGGGGGTATGAGCGCCTCCTCCAGTGGCGGGCCAGCCTCCTGCCCGGCCCCTCGGGCAGACGGGAGAAGCAGGACCACGGGGAGTCCGCCGCGCCCCGAGACTCTTCCGCTTCGCCCTGTAGGGGAGCCCGAGCCCCATCTCACCTGGGTGCCTCTGCCCTTGTCAGCTTGGTAGTAGCGGCACAGATACATGATGTTTGTACGTTGAAAGCGTCCCTCAGGGACAGGGTGTCCAGGCAGAGACGCCATAAACATTCGGGTGGAATTCCCTGCTGTGGGCTGCAAGGTGGAGTGTGGACAGACACCCGGCCCTGTGCTGCTGGGCCCATGCTCAGGGCCTCGTCCCTTCCTGCCCCTCCAGCGCCTGGTCTCCCAGGGGGCCCTGGTCGTCACACCGTCCCTTAGAGACCCCTGTCCATCTTGCCTCCCGAGGGTGGGGGGAGACGTGGGAAAAGGAAACCTGTTGGCTGTGTAGAAACTGGGTAGATGCATCAATTCCAGTCTCCATTTAAGATGTTTGAAAGTGCAAAGGCAAAAGCCAGCATGGGCTGCCCCCTCCAAAGGCTTGCGTGGGCCGTCCGCGGGCCCCGAGAGGGGCCGATGCTCGTGTCACCCCAGCGTGCTCACTTCTTGTCTGTGCGTGGAAGGCAGATGAGGTCCGTGCTGGTGACGTGGGCCCATGGTGATCTGATGCTGGAGGGTGTGAGTTTCCACAGGGAGCAGCCCTTTCCGAGTCGGCTCTGTGCCAGACACTGGCAGATCACACACTGTTGGATTTAATTCTCACTGTGTCCCATATCACAGCTGAGGAAACTGAGGAAAGAGGAGCTGAGGGGCATGGCCGGGGCAGGGAAGGGCAGGAGATGGAGACAGGTTCCAGCCAGAGCAGCTTTCTCACAGAGCCCCTGCGGTCAGCCTGCTTTCAGCATGGCAACAGGCCCGTGGGCTTGACTTCCTTCCCCAAGGTCAGTCTGTGCGTCCCTCTTGCTGGGGACAACCCCGGCAGGCCCTCGAGAGCCCCGCAGTGGCGGTGGGCGAGCAGCGCTGTCTCTCCACTCCCCTGTGCTTAGGCTTCTCATCAGATGTGTAGGTGACCGAGGCGCACCTCAGAACCAGCGCGGCGCTGAGCCAGAGAACTCCTTGCCGCCTGCGCAGCAGTCGTTTCTTGATTGAAAGTGACAGGAAATCCTGGCTGACTCAGTCTCCATTGTGACATTTAAATATATTTGTAAATGTGCCAGCACACATCAAGCTAAGCATCATCCCTGGGCTTCTGAACGTGTGTGTGTCAAGCGCAACAATGCGAGCAGCGGACCCCCCTGGCACGTGAGGGTTGGCCTGCCCTCGTGGCTCTGAGCTGGCTGCTTGTTATGTAAGCCGGCTGGTTGTGAAATAGTTCTGCTGCCGGAAGTATGCGGCTCGCCCTCAGCAGTGGCATGGGAAGACAGCTGTGGCACGTGGGAACTTCTCCCCAGCACGGCTTCCAGGACACGTCCGCGGGCGCAGGATGTGTGCAGCGACGGCTTGTTTTGACGGGGATGGTGTGACATGAACGCGGCCGTGTTCTCGCTGACATGCCCGGCGGCGTGCGGTGTTTCTCACGCTTGCTTCCCCTTGCCCCTCTGATTGCAGGAGAAAACCAAAGAGCTGGCGGAGAAGCAGGCGCACCTGTAAGTACCTGTCAACGTCCCTGCCCCTCGGGGGCTCCCACGGGGCTGCCCTGTGGGGCCAGGACCGGGCGGCGCTGGCCCTGGCGGGCAGGCAGACTATCCGCTCCTCGCGGGCAGCCTTGTCCCCTTCTGCAGTCTGCGCGGGGAGTCTGCGCGGGGAGGCTCTGTTTCGCCCGCGCCTGCGCACCCCTGAGACTGGGTGAGACCCCAGCATAGCCCCTCCCTTCGTGCCTCCCATCCAGTGTAGCCGCTCCTGCCCCTTCTGTAGGCCTCCAGGGCCTGGCAGGGGAGAGCGGGACTCCTGCCCCCGACCACGTCTGCTTTACAGAAAGCTCCGTGTCCCGATTTCACGGCCCCCACAGACACAAAAGCTGAGCGCCTCCTGGGCGCTGTGGCCTTGCTGCCAGGGCAGGGGGTGAGCCACGGCTCCCCAGCCGAGCCTCGGTGTCAGCGGGCCCGGCGCCCTACGGAGCCAGCGCGCTCAGAGAAGCGTCCGGGCAGCCGCCCAGACAGCCCCAGCCCCCGCGCGCCCCGGATGCTTTGCCGTCGACACCCTTCCCACCCTTCCTGGAGACTCCGTGGCGGCAGCTGAGGTGGGCTGGCGCGTGGTTGACAGGTGTTCCCAGCGCGTTGGGTTTGCCCGGACGCAACGCGGCCAGGCCAGGGCGACAGGCGGGCAGCTCGGCCGCGCCCAGCAGCGCCCAGCAGCGCGGAGGCACGGCGGCCGCAGCCCTTCCTCGCAGCCCAGTCGCCGTGCTGAGAGGGCAGCAGGGGGAAGCCCGCTTACCCGCCCGCATCAGACGCTGGAACTGGCGGCCCAGAGGCCAGGAGGCGGGGTTGGAGCGCGGCCTGGGTCCCCGGCTGCCCCCCAGAACTCGCTCACTCACGACAGCCTGCGCCCCCAGCTCCTCCGGGGCCCAGAGCCTCCCAAGCGACTCTGCTGTGCCGACCGGCTCCGGCAGGCGGGAGGCCGGCGCGGACCGGAGCCTCCCCCGGCCGCAGTGGGCTGTGGGCTCCTTCAGCTTTCCAGAACTCGGCCGTGGGGCCTGTGTCTTCCCCACAGAGTGCTCTTTTGTTTCAACATTTGAATCACTTCCAAAATACAGAAAGGCATGAAGTCTGCCAGTCACTCACAAACCCACACCTGAATTTAACTTCATTAACACTTTGCCCGGTTTGCTTCAGCTCTTCCTGCTGTGTGGCTCTTTTTAAATGTCCCGCGGCCAATGACTTTGACTAAGAGCTTTTTCTGCAGCCGTGATCATTATGTGTTTCTTTTTCTGTGAAGCTGTGGATGTGGGTAGATCTGTGAACCATGATTGAGGTCCTGAAATGAAGCTGTTTGTGGCTAGTGCTTTTGTTTTTAGCATGGTAAGGTGCGCTTGTTGACATTTGAATTAGGATTTCCCATCTGAATTCTTTTTTCTTTTTTTTTTTTAGTAGAAGAACTGGGGTATTGGCCAGAGATATGGGGGGGGGTAGTGGTAAAAGGAAGCACAGGGAGCAACGGGCTAAATCCCCAGAAGGGGTGGCTGGGTCATATGGTGGCCCTACTTTCTAGTTTTTAGGCTCCTCTGCATTGTGTTCCGCAATGGCGGTACCATTTTGCACCCCAAGTAGTGCCATTGGGACTCCAATTTTTCCGCATCCCTGCTATTAATTTGGTCTTTTTAATCATAACCATCCTGAAGGTGAAAGGTACTTACTGTGGTTAGTTTGCCCCTCTGCTTAGTGATGTCAAGCACCTTCTCGTGTCTGTTGGCCGTTGTATGTCTTCTTTGGGAAACTGTCCTCAGGTCCTCAGCTTGCTTTTAAATTGGGTTATTAGTTTTTGCTTGAGTGGTTGGAGTTCCTTACGTATTTTGGAATCCCTCCCTTATCTGATGAGTGCTCTGTGAACATCTCCTATCTGTCAGCTGCCTCTTCTCTCTGCCGATGGTTTCCTTGCCGGTTAAGCTTTGTCGTTTGAGATTGTCCCATTTGTTTCTGCTTGTGCCTTTGGTGTCATATCCATGACCCGCCATCCCACTCAGCGCTTGCCTGGAGGTGGGACAGGCCCTGCACCCGGTCAGTGGCCTGCTGTGTCGTCAGGGCTGGCTGGTGTCGACTCGCTGCTGACCTTACTGGGTTTGACACAGAAACTCTAGCCGGCAGCTTATTTTTCAGGAAAAGTCTGTCTGTCCCTTTGAGTTCTGGCTGAAATTGAGAAGGGCACTTCATGTGGAAAACAAAACAGAATTAAACTCTGAAGAGCCAGATTAATCCTTTCATAACGACAAGCTGTCCACGTGCGCGTGCATATAGCCAGGGTGGAGGGCAGGACTTCCAGGGCCTTGACACGAGTGGGTGGGGCGCAGACCTGCTTCGCTTTCAAGCAGGGTGGCAGGGCTGATAGTCCTTCCCCCCAGGAGCAGGCAGAGAGTGGGGTCACGACGTGTGCACCAGTGACGTCACATCTGTGAGAGCAGCACAACAGGCCCCAGAGAGCCAAAGAGAAAGGGGCCTCAGCCCTCCCAGGCGCTTCCTCACAGCCCCACCTGTGTGGCGCCATGGCCCTGGGCCCCCAGGGGCCAGCGCGATGTTGCTGTGAGGTCACTGACTCCGGCTTCCTGAGCTGCTGGGAGGGACTGAAGAGTCTGCCCCTGCAGGCCGAGGAGCGGTGCCGCCCCACGATCACGTGGCCGGCCTGCCAGAACCCCCAGCAAGCTGGGGGCTCCCTGGGACTGTGGCCACAGCAGCTGGATGCCACACCCCCAGGCACACCCAAGTCATATCTCGGTGGTTGGATTTGCTATAAAACGGTCTCTGCTCACCGGCCATCAGTGTCCATCACTGACCGCACCTGGGGGCTCAGCCCCAGGGCCCAAACCTTCTCAACATGGTGGTCTCCAACAGCCTGCTCAAGAGCTGGCTGCCCGTGGGTCGCGTTGGCCAGAAAAGCATGATGGCGTTTTAAAAGGAGGAATTTTCTGCTGCGTGGCCCGGTCCTACCACATCCACCACAACTGCTCGAGGTGGTTTGGGACAGCACCAGGGAGCTTCACGTGTACGGTGACTCACAGACACTCGCTCCTGGACCCCAGGGCCTGCTGTGCGAGAGGCGCAGGAGGAAGGGGTCAGGGAGAGCCCTCCCAGGAAGGGGTCAGGGAGAGCCCTGTCCGACCCAGGGGCAGGCGACCCTGCCCCGCCATGGTGCCTGGGAAGAGAGCTGGCCCCCGAGGGAGCACCACCGGGCACCACGCCGCCTGGCGGCCGTCGCTCAGGGCTGCGAGGAGGGGGAGGCCCGGCTCTGCCCCCCAGGCCTGGTGGCTCTTTCTAGCTAGCCGGGGACACCCAAACTTCCTTGGTGGATGGATCAAACAGTAGAGAACGTTTGTGATGGACACCGACTCCTCTCCCAACCCCAACCCCAACCCCGACGGTCCGCAGAGGCAACTTCGTCGCTCTGACCATTTCTGACTTTTCTTAGAACTACCTCGAAATCTTCATAGCAGGCCTTGCTGGCCAGCCTTTGCTTCATGGACTTTGGACATTACTGTCTGACCCCAGCTGCCTGAGGCCGTATTTGGCAGTGTTTAGCCAGTCTTGCCCGGGCTCCTCCCAAATAGTTATGTTGCTGTCCAGTTCCTCTGTTAGCTGTTTGAACACATGGAAACTCCTATCTCCTCTTCTTTTGGAATAGACTTAATTAAGTTCACGTTTCTTGTCCCCAAACCACGGTACCTCCCTTCCGCGCGTGCACGCGCACTGGGACACTCTCTGTCTTTACCAGTCATAGCACTTTCCGAGCTGATTCCCCAAAGAAGAGGGTTGATTTACCGGTCTCTCGCTCATGGCTGTGGCTCCTTCCCGCTGAGCCTCGCAGGGGACGTGCTCCTGCCCGTCCGGTGTCCGCAGGTTGTCTCTATTCAGTGTCCCAGCCCGAGGCGGCGGGCTGGCGGCGGCGGTGTCTGATAGCGTGCCATCGGGATGGACCGGGGTTGTCGTGCCAATGGGACGGACGGGGGAGGTCGCGCCGTCGGGACGGACCGGGGTGGTCGTGCCGTCGGGACGGACCGGGGTGGTCGTGCCATCGGGACGGACGGGGTTGGTTCTGGTGTCACTCGGCTTTTCTGTCGGTAGCCAGGAGCCCATCTCCCTGGCCAGCATCTCCATGGCCGGCCTGGTGCCTGACCTGCAGCACATTCTCTTCTGGATGTCCAACTCCGTGGAGCTGCTGTACTTCATCCAGCAGAAGTGCCCCCTGTACATGCAGAGCCTGGAGGAGGAGCTGGACGTCACAGGTACGGCTGTGCCGGGGGCAGGCGTCTCCTGGCCGTCTCGGGGTGCAGAGGTCCCTGGAACAAGGGTGAGGTTTTGAGGGGACCTCCCTGGGGGAGCCTGGATGTGGGGGGCAGCAGACAGAGGGGTGTGTCAGCCACCATCCCTCACACGATGCTCCACTATTTCACACAGAGAGACATTGCTGAGAGCTGAAAAATTTAAACATGTATGTATGACCTGTGTGACTTCACTTCCATGTGCATCTGACAGTCATGCGATATAGTAAAGGTGCAGAGAACGCTGAGGGAGAGCGTGATTCTGACCGGAGCAGTCTGGGGGCTTCGTGGAGAAAGTGGCGCTTGCCTGGCCCTGAGGCCCCACTGGGGTTTTAAGCTGGTGTTTCTGATGAGCTGTGTGGGGCAGGAGCAGCCTGGTCGGGCCTGGACCGAGCCAGGCGGGAGCGCAGAGCCCTTTGGGATGTGACAGCCGGGTACCCAGAGCTGGGTGGGTGAGCTTGCTTTAGCCCCCCCCCCCCCAATCCTGCTGTGTGGCAGACACAAAGCCACCATTTCCTTCCTTTCTGGCTTGGTCCCAGCCTGCCCCTGAGCAGCGTGACGCGGCTGTCCTGCTGTCCTGGGCAGGCAGGACCGGGTGCAGCTGAGACCCCCTGTGCGCCGGGTCCACACAGGCTGCCCAGCGCTCTGCCCAGCGTGTCTCCCAGAGGCGGCCGGTCAGCCTGAGGTGCTGGGATCAGCTCCAGCCCAGTGGGTATTCTGGGCCAGCCAGCCTGTTCCCTCCACCCTTTGTTCCCTGGGTGGGCACTGTGAAAGGCCCTGGCTGTATTTTCAAGGCTGGTACACTGCTCTCCGTCCCGAGCTGGACCCGAGTGGACCCGCGCCCGCTGCCTCCTGCATGTGCTCAGACGGTGGCTCCGGAGTCCGTCTCAGGCTGCCCCTGAGCTCCTGGAGACCAGCGCCTGCGGCTCCTCTCTCCCTCCCTGCAAGGCCCGACCCCCACTGGTCCCCAGCTGGCAGCTCCCCAGGGCCGACCTGGCCACCAGCTCAGCAGGTCCTGAGAGGAGGCTGCCTGGCGCGGCCAGTCTCAGGCGCGGTCTTTCCCAGCCAGATGTCCGGAGCTGGGTGCTGCTGGGAAACTTGTGCTCGGCGGCCGCAGTCAGCTCGAGACTGCCCCCACGTGGCCGCCGGCCGCAGCGCTTCCAAGTCCGGCAGAGGCCGGTGACTCTGACCTGGCTCGCACTACTGTGGGGGGGAGGCGGCCTCCTGGCCTGCTGGCAGTGTCCACGGTGTCCACGCGGGCACCTGATCCGGCCGATTTTCATAAGAAAAGCTGCTGGGGCCGGGGCTCTGCTCTTTGGCCGCTGCCTGGCCTCAGGAGGGAGTCAGCCAGCTTAGGCCTGGGGCGGTTCTTGGCCAGGCCGTGGCCGCTGGTGCAGGGAGCGTGCTGAGCAGCCTGAGGAATGTCCCGAGTACTGGAGCTGTGGAGGGAAAATATCAAGCAGAGGGCAAAGGCAAGGTCACATCAGTGTTCCGCCCCCCGACCTTCAGCAGGAAATATCTGTGGGAAGAATTCTGAAAGCAGAGATGTCATGTCCTGAAAGCTGGAAAAACTGTTGTTTTCATTCCCCAAAGAATCGTTTTTATCGGAAGCTCCTATCCAGGAGGCCCGATTCACACGGCAGATGGCCGTTCGGCCCGTGGCGGTGGTGGGTGCGGGGCCGGGGCTCCGTCTGAGATTGTCTTGGCAGCCCTGTGCTGTGCCCGTAGATTGGAGGGACGGGCCCTCAAGTGCCTTGGGGGCGGCCTCAGCCCTGGAGGCCCCAGAGCTCTGGGGGTGGAGGGAGGGTGGCTGCACTCGCTTCACCCTGTGGGAGGCCTGTGTGGGTGCCCCAGCGAGCCCGGCTGCCCGTGGAGGCTTTCCGCGTGATTTGAAATGGCATCTGGGAGACCGTGGCCTATGTGGGGAGCTGGCCTGCCGTGGTTTTGCTTTGTGGAATCCCTGCGACCTCCTTTTTCTGCCATTCCCCATTTTGAACAGAACCCTCCCTTCCTCTCGCTCCCCGCCCCCCCCCCCACACACACAGGAGGGTGGAAATCTGCTTCCTCAGATACGCTGGCACACGTGCAGCCGGAGGCCTGGCCCTGCCCTGAGGAGGCCCTGTCCAGTGGCGGGCTCGGGGCCGGCGTCTTATCCCGTTCCCACGGGCTTCCACTGGTTGTGAGGCCAGCCTTGATCTCTCTGTAGACCCGGAGCCTTCCAGAGGAAGGGGTATTGCAGCTGGCAGGGGAATAGCCAGTCCACACCCAGACACCCGTCAGACGCCTCTTTGCCTCCAGACCCAGGGCTCATGCACCCGACTGCCTCTCCCCAAAGGGAGCCTGCAGGGAGCAGCCAGACCCCACCCTCACCCCGGATGAGGCCCACGGACCTGGGAGGTCACCAGCGAGGCCAGGCAGGCCTCTGGCTCCAGTGTAGGCGGGTTCTTGGGGAGTGAGCCTCTGGGAGGCTCGGGGCTGAGGGGCGGGAGCCCCCGAGCCCTGGAAGGAGACGCACCGTGAGCAGCAGGAGGAAGTGCGGCAGCGTGGCGTGGCTCACGTGCGGCGTGTGCGTCTGGTCAGCTGTCTGGAGGCCGCTGGCGCCGGGGCCTGTGCCCCCGTGGGGCCCAGCTTAGTGCTCAGCACGTCCCGGCCATCCTGTGCCTCCCTCCAGCCCTGAAAGGAGATTCCCAAACTGTGGCCCAAGTGGCTCCTTCAAGAAGCTGCAGCAGGAGGGCCCGACATGTAGCTCAGGCCAAGCCCATGTCTGCCTACACCGGACACATCGTGCCGTGGCCAGCTGCCTTCTGCTCCCTGTAGTGGAGAAATGAGGATTTGAGAGCGAGAAGGACAAAGACGGGTGTCCTGTGTGCCTGCCCTTCCCCCAAGTGCTGGCGAGACCCCAGTCGCTGGCACAGCAGACGTACCTGCTTTCTGGGAGGCTGCTGGCAGTGGTTGCGCCTGTTGGGGCCTCTGGCCTTGGGAAGCCTGTTGCTGGCTTGGCCTGTCGTCTTTACAGCAAACCTGCAAGAGGGAAGGAGTCCCACTGACGTCCTTCCCATGCCTGAGCAGGGGCACCCCCACCCCCAGTCTCAGCTGCTGGGCTGCGACCCCCAGTCTGGGAGGCCACACACCAGGCCTCTGGTCCCCAGTGCCACAAGGAGCAGGCCTCCTCCACGCGGCTGGTGGAGGGGCTTCTGCTCCGTGCTGACAGTGCTGGGCGGAGCGCGGGGCACAGGCGACTTGGCGTCTCTCCTTGGAAACACACCGTGATGCACATGTGACTGGCCCCTTGGCCTGTGTCCTGGGTGGAAGTGCGGACCTATATCCAGAGTCCTTGTGCTGGGAAGTGCCTGGAAGCTCCCACCTTGGGCCCCTGGGTGAGGTGTGGCAGGCAGGCGGGGGTTGCCCAGGCCGCTCTGTGACTTTGGATCATCACATTTTCCAAATGCAGGATGGGAGTGTTGGACAGTGGCACTTAGGCGG